AGGGTGACTGGAGGACACTTGGTCAAACATCAACTGAAACTGCTCCAACTCCTCCTGTTCACGGTGAACCGTATGCGGAACAGCATGCTCTCCGATAACGAGCGTCCGCCAGAATGGATGAACCTGATCGACATGTAACGACGCCCTGTCTTGCGTAATTACGCGGTGAATGGTGCATGCACAAGGTAATCCATGAGTCATTGATATAGCACATCCGCACCGAATAGCCACTTCATCGCCCAACTCCCTCATCCTGGTATACTCGCTCAGAATCAACCCCAAACAGTGGTGTGACACACGACCGTGGAGAATCTTAAATATGAAATGGCCATACAACATGCCATGTCGTCGTCTGGAGTCCTCGAGATAGTTCTTGATGCCGTTCCTCTGAGTATCAATAGCCTTGTTTATTCTCTCGAACAGTGTATCCAGAGCAGCCGTGGAAGAATCAATCCAGTCCTTCAAAGCTCTATGAGCGCTCTCGGCTCTGCATGTCGTAGTGTTCCCAAAATGAAGAACTTGGTTCGTCCAATATTTGACAAACTTTTCCCTCTGAGGTACCCACTGGTGCATCACATAGTCTACGATTGGCGGGCACCACTTGTACGCATCCTTGAAGTTTTCCAAGGCTCGATCGTACTCTGCCTCTGTGGTAGCTTGCATGATCTTCCGCCACTTACCATTTACCAATGTCTCTGCTGTTACTAAATTCTTGTTGAAAAGATTGTAGGCTTTGACTTTCACGCAGTTGTTGATGTGCCATGTGCACAGTAAATGGCTCGACTCCGGAAACAGCTCCGCTATAGGGGCAAAAAGACCTCCCTCACAATCACTTACGATGGCCGATGGCTGTACATTTGGGCCGATGTAGTTTCTCAACTTTTCCAACACCCAACGGTAACTCGCAGCCGTCTCATCCTTCATGACTGCATAACCAATCAGAAAGTTCTGGTTCGTTGGAGCCATCCCAACCATCTCAACCAGTGGGAACTTGTACTTGTTTGTCTTGTACGTTGAATCGATCAAAATCACAGATGGCCAAGACGAAATCATATCAGCACAATCAGGATGGACAAGGAACAAATGAGTTACCTCCGATGTGTCTTCGTCAGATTCAAACCAGTAAAGGTAACCACGTGCTTGTGCCTGGTGCAGAAGCTGCTGTATAGGGTTCCTTCCCTCTGACCGTTCAAACCTCAATTTCTGTCTGACGTTGTAGATGTGTCTTCGGTTTGGCTGGTCTTCGGGGAATTTCTCTAACACAGACGCTAATATTTTAGCGGGCTTCACTTGAGCATCACTCATTTCTTTTACAACTAGTTTCGCAGCTGGACTTAGGCCGCTTAACTGCCGATGCCCCACTTTGTATGCTATCAGCTCATGGTTGTGATATCCCCATTTGCCGTAACCCTTCACTTCCCAACCGTCACGCCTTTGATGTTGTCGAACCTTAACTCGGAACTGACACCCACAACCTTTCCGCTTTGAGTCAAACCGAATCGCTTTACTGAAATCTCGTTCTTCTCTTTTGCGATAACGGTCGCATCTCAAAATGCGATCCATTCTACCATCCCGTTGAGATTTATGAGTTGCTACTACTAAACAAAAGCCTGATCTAATTGCAACCTGTTTTGCCCAATCAATCGCTTGTTGAGCATCTTCGAACAGGCCATCATGTACAAAAATCCCACTGTAATCATTTCCGTCTCCACCATAATCCTGTAACAATAACATATAACGTATAAATATAATTACATTAAGATTAAATTAACAAAAACAAAAAAAAAGGGGATTAAATTAAAAAAAAAAAATATATATATATATATATATATATATATATATATATATATATTCCCCTAGTGGCCCCTGGCCAGGACGCCAGAGCCACGGCCTGAGCGCCTGGTCAGGACGCCGGAGCCACGGCCGGGGCGCCTGGTCAGGACGCCGCCGCCATGGTGTCGGCGTCCTGGCCAGGCGCCTTGGCCGTGGCTCCGGCGTCCTGGCCACGCGCCACTACTATGGTCGAGGCTTCTCCACCAGGCGCCGTTACCACGGTGGCGGCGTCCTGGCTAGGCGCCACAACCACGGCATGGCCTTTTGGCTAGGCGCCAGCCACCATTTCGTCCTTACGATGCGTTACGAACCTCGTTTTCCGATGACGACGGCGATTCTCCGGTGATCCTCGGCGATCCGGTGCTGCTCCACATTTTTTTAGTGCGAAAAATTTATCTTCGGTTAAAATTATAAAAAGGGCAAATTTGTCAAAAAATTATAAAATGTGGGCTTTATGTAGAGAATTGCGGGCGATGAATAACAAGTCCCTAGAGGTAGAGGTGTCAATTCGGGTAAACGGGTCGGGTTTGAGTCAGGTTAGTCTGGGTCGGGTTGATTCAGGTTAATACTGTAACTTATGCAGGTCGGGTTCAGATTAGGTCATGCTTGAGTCGGGTCACGTCGGGTCATTTATCTTATCGGGTTTGGGTCGGGTTTAAGTTGAGTCAATAACAGGTCGGGTTACATTCGGGTCGGGTGAATAATAGATTGGGTTTAATTCGGGTTTTAACGGGTTAAAACGAGTTAGGGCCATTCTCAAGTTCGAGTCGGGTTCGGTTCAAGTCAATAATTTGCGGGTTACAATCAGGTTGGGTTATTTCCAAGTCGGGTCATGTTCGGGTTCAGGTTTTCAAATATTGGGTTAATTTGGGTCTCGGGTTGATTTCAGGTCGGGTCATATCGGGTTCGGGTATATTTTTCGGGTTGGTTTGTTAATAGTTTTTACATTTAATCATTATCAATTTCTTCATTTATTACAATTTTTTCACTTATTTTAGGATAAACAATTTCATATAAGTTCAAATTCGAACTAATGAGATCATGTAAATTTAAGATAAGATATAAAAAGTTCATATTAATTTCGGTAATATAGGTTTAGTTAAGATTTTTGGAAGATATGTTCAGACCCTATTCTGATCTATTTTTCATTTGTTCCACTCATTTTAGGAAACAATTTCAGATTAGTTTATATTCGGAATGGGTCAGGAACAATTCCGGTTGAATTTGGGTCGGGTCAATAACAAGTCGTGTTGATTTCGGGTCGGGTTAGTAAAAGATCGAGTTGAATTTTGGGTCGGGTTAATAATAGGTCGGGTTACATTCGGGTCGGTTAGTAGCGGTCGGGTTAAATTCGGGTTTTGACGGATTAAAACAGATTTGGGTCAATCTCGGTTCAGGTCGGGTTCGGTTCAGGTCAATAATTTACGGGTTATATTCAGGTCGGTCATCTCTAGGTCGGTTCATGTTCAGGTTTGAATCTCGAATACTCGGGTTTACTCGGGTCTAGTATTGAATTTGGGTCACCATTTTTTCGGGTTCAAACATATCGGTTAATAATCGAATTCGGGTAAATTTTTCGCGTCGGGTCAGCTTTTGACCGCTCTAGTTAGAGGTCAAAGGTTAAAGACTTTCTAACAATATTTAAATTTTTGGATACAAAATATCAGAAGGGTGAGTAAAACGTGATGGATATAAAAAAGATGATTGAATATATAAATATAACAATTTTGGAGGGGGAGTGGGAATAGAGTAGATAATCCCGCATATAGTTATCCTGATTAATTAAAGGCTACGGAGTAGTATTTCGGTGTTTTATCAAGAAGAAAATCACAAAGTTAACAATCATAACTTCATTAACTTGTAAATTTGTAATCGAAATCTCTAAGCTTTTGGTTGATTAAAACTCTTAAGATTTAGCGCACACTTGGTACTCTTAACATTTGGCGCACACTTGGTACTAACACTCTAAGTTTCATTTTATATTATTGCGTGATTATTAAAATATATAGAAGGAGAACACGTGTTAGGTAGAGTTAGAGAGATTGGATAAAAAGATGAATATTTTTTATGTTATTGATTCACATGGGGGAGACTCTTGACCTCACGTACATTAATTGGAACCACACTTTTTAGATGATTGCTACTGGTTCATTTTCCTCCCATATATGCATGATAAAGTATTTTTAGTGATGATTGCTTACACACGGTGCATGGACCACTAAACCAGTTGTGTTTCCTCCCTCTTTTTTTTTTTAGAATTATACTTGGTAGTAGTTAGTAATTATTGACTAATTGTATTAATTATGTGACAAAGTAACTATTAGAACATGATGGCCATACACCAACAAAGTATGTTTACTTGTTACTTTGTTAGTGTTGCTACTATGTACTCATTGGTTATTGGCAACTTTTCCAGCAATTAGTGGAAGACTTAAGTCTTGTTTGGTTCACCTTATTTTTACTGATTTGGTCTGGTCTGGTCTGATCTGATCTGATTGTCTGATTTGACCAAACTTTAACCTTAAGTGTACGATAATCTATAAGGAAAAAATATATTAAGTGAGATCTTGTTAGATTCGTAATAATGTGTAGTTTATTAATATGTAATTTTCACAATTTTTTTCATTACGAAATTAAGAATATTTAGCGATAAAAAACCGCACATAAAACGATGTTTTAATCTGAACTTATCTGATCTGATCTGAACTTATTTTTTTTGAAATAATTAAAAATAAGTTGAACTAAACAAGGCCTTAATGCGGAGTACCAAACAGGTTAAAAGACGGCGTTGGGCCACCCAAGCACGACATGATACGACTCATACTGCGAGACCTCTGTTGATTAGCCATGAGTCGTGCTTGGCCTTGTTTTGTATAAACCTTATGGCTGAATCTCAAACAGGATGGGGAACTCGCTAGCCAACATGACCAATCCATGTATATGATAGGAAGATGCATAAGGTGGCAAGGAGGGTTGATAGGCTGCTCAAAGGTAGCAGTCTGCTGGGCCGTGCTGGCGTGGCATCACTTCCACCGTTAACCAAATTCGGTGTAAAAAGCTATCGAATGCAAGAACAATTGAACAAGCAAGACCGAGAATTATAGCAACTTTCTTCAAAAGAATCAATAAGTTAAGCAAAAACAATGAAGCCAGGAAAAAGGTCGGTATTAAGGGCAACCAGTACGAGGCAAAATAAGAGGGGTAAAAAGAGCATACATAGGGTATTAGAAAAAAATTGTTGGCTTTTGAAATTAAACCATCATCTGCTGTTCTGATTTACATACTTTTATTACTCATTGTATGTCAACTAATAAAAAGAGAAAACACAGACCATTCTGGGTTCCAAATATCCAATTGGATCAAAAGAATGCAACAAGCAAGCACGAGGCTAGAACCTGGAAATTAAGCGAACATTCTAACAATAGGCTGCAATTTCAATTAAGAAATGACTCCTCATTACTCTGGCTTCATGTTTTCACACTCTTCACGAATAGACTGGAACAAAATGGATGACAGGTATCGCTCACCAAAACTTGGAAACACAACCTGGAACAGCAGAAATATTGACCGAGTTATGGATGATGTGTCAAGAACAGGTGAGACAGGTTTTTAGAACCCGTCTATTACAGTAATAAATTGGAAGTAATAAATACTGTGGTTATGTATATGATCTTTGATTAATGATGCCGCATTGCTATCATGAGGGAAACAATTGCCCAAAATTAATGAGAAAGAAATACTGATGGGCAGGCATCAGATACAGAACCAAATGCAAACATCTAGACTGCCTTTATACCCCAAATTATGATAAAGATTGTTTTTTCAGACAGGATGTGGGCATTAAGGCTATGTACTCTTCAACTAATTTCACGAATTATTTTAATTCGTGTTTAAAAATTAAACCAAATAAGTTTTATTTAACAAGATCCCAATTGATAGTGTTTTTTTCAAATTTTATATACATACAAATAAATTCACAGCAGAAAAATTGGGATCGCACCAGACCTCAAGAAATTCAGACCTAACACTTAATTTTAGGTGATGAGAACACAGCCTAAGATGGCTGGCCAATTAAGAACACTAACATAGTAACATGTGCAACTATCATTATAAACAACCTAGTCTATGGGTAGAGTCAGAAAATCATGCAGGAAGTGTTTGTTTCATCTAAGATAAGTTATCCCAATTTTTGACTACAAGGTAATCTTTTGAAACCTATAGCATGCAAAATATTGCTCATCATCATTCTTAGTTGACCTAGGAGAAGTTATTTCAATTCCCGACTACAAGGTGATCTTACAATTCTGTGCACTAAAATTCTTCATTGAAGTTGGTGTGAAAATTCGACCAATGTTCTGATTAAGGCCCTGCTCATCAACCTTTTTTTTTAAGGTTTTGATGGTTACTACGACTAGCTCTACTTTTATAAGTTGAGAAATGTACAAACAAGTTCAGATATGTCGGAAAGAATTCAGGAGATTATTACAGAACAGACCCTAAAAGACTAGCAAATAGTTGAAGTTATGGGTCACTAAGATGCTAAAATGGAAGCTAAGCTTCAAACAATGAACAAAATAAAAATAGAAAGAAGGAAGAAGTAGATTTATAAGAAGTGAACCTAACAATCATAATGCAAGCCTAATTAGAAATAAATATAGTCCAGTAAACAGCTAAAATAACTCTTGAGAAGGTTCTAATGCAGCTTTCTCAGTTAAAAGGAAATTAAAAATACTCTACCACACAAGATGCAAAGGGAAGCAAGCATGTGAAAGAGAGAGTGACAAAATTTTAAATCTAAGATATCAATCAAAGATTAAATTTAAGTTTGTGATTTAAGAGAGTGATAAGTGAAGGACTTACAGCTATAAGTTTTCCTGCATTTTCAGGTCTTTTACCAACCTTGACTGCAGCAGCTGCTGCCGCTCCAGAGGAAATGCCAACCTGGAGCAAGAAAAAGATTAATCAGAAATTTGAATGGTAAATAACATTCAGCATAATACCCTCCAAAGTATAATTAGATCTACAGAACAAATATGTAGTGCTGCTCCAAAAGTTGCCAAATCATATGCTTCAAACGTAATTCTACAGTAGATGGTGCTTAATTGCAAACCTCTACAATAAATTAATTAATCATTAACTTCATTTTTTAAGAGAAAATATGATATATTATCAGCTGCAAAACGTATTAAGAAAATAAACTACAAGTAGCCATTTACTCATATATTAAGTACTTCCCCACAAAAATAGGTTGCTTTAAATTAAGGCTACACTTCATGATCTGATCTGATATCGTAATTCGACACAACTTTGACCTTATTTGTCCACTAAATCTTAAGAAAGAAAAAATTATCAAATGAGAAGTAGTACGATTTGTATTAATAAGTATGTCACAAATATTAAAATATCATATACATAATTAAAGATATTTAGCAATAAAAAAGATATGGTCTCATGTCTCATCTAATCTAATGTGATCCAAAAATTTATAAAAAAAAAAAAAAGAAAGCAAAGATTTGCTTAAAGAAGTTGAATTGAACTGTTGAACATAGCCTACATATGGTATTATTGTCAACTGAATACTTTGGATTGGTCTGACATGATATCATTTTTTAATTATCTATATAATTTGATTTGATTTAATCTGGGTTGAACTATTTTGATATAAGTAACCATGTTCTAAGAAGTTGAATCCAACTTCTTTGTAACTCAACAGAAGAGATTGTCAAATAGTAGAAATCAACATATATCACATGAAGTGGCAGCAACTATTCTAGGGTCCAACCATGGTCTACTTGTTCTAATTTCTAATTAGAGCAACTTTAAGGACCAATGAAACCATGTTATGACTACTAACCAGCAAGCCTTCTTTCATTGCTAATTGCTTTGCAGTTTCAATAGCTTCTTCACTGGATACCTGAGAAAGATAAATTTTCAGAATAAGAAAGGCTCAAGCACTGAACTTCTTCAAAAGGCAAAGAGACCCTTGCAGAAGAAATATTATCTTATACATGCAATCATGCATAACATACCACCAATGACATTTTCTGGTTGTAGTTTTGTTCTTAAAGGAATATAAACCATGCCTTGTTGATGGATGTCGTGACCAAGAATAGTTTATTTAAATATTTGCACCCCATGCTTGAAAGAAATGAAAGACAAAAATAACAAATGAAAATTACACCTGTAGCTCAATAACCCCAATCCCAACTAGCCAACTCAAAACCAATGATATCAGCTCTTGCTAATAAATAACTGACATTAGGGTAGTATATTTCTATGTTGATCAGACTCGAGTACTCATGTCTGACATAGCTATGTGTCCAAGTGTCGGATCATCTATTTTGTGAAATTTTCCAATAACCTTGGCCCAAAATGAAGGGTCAAAGTCACTTGTCCATGTCCAAGTGTCGTGGGTTGACACATATACGTGAGGTAAAATGAAAAGTCAAAGAAACATTGGTTTCACTGATGAAAAACTCAGGTAAAAGTCAAAAACTTTTGATCTCCATCAACAAAAAAATTAAATTTGTATGAGCCTACATACTTCATACGGTTTGCAGATGAACTTATAGCTATAATTTGAATGGTTTCTGGTAGTTCATCAAAGTGCATGGAACCATTTTAGTACAACCTACATAACCCTATACCTTCTGATAATTTAACTATCATGGAATGGCATTTTCTCACCAAGGATTGCGATCTATACCCAAATATTTGACAATGGTTCATGTCTTATGGAGCATATGTGATGTGATGTGATATCCCTAAGCAACCCTCGTTAAAGGTGGAAAGGCATTGCTTATAAGATACTGTATATCATATTATTAACATACAATCAGACAAGCTTTAAATCTGAAATACTAATACCGGTCCATATTAAACCAATCTATGCAGCAGCACTCTGCGAGCAAATTATGAGATGTCATAAGAAAGTATAGAAGCAGAAGAATATTCACCTCTATAACTTCATCCATCACACCCAAATCTAAATTGCTGGGAACAAAACCAGCTCCAAGTCCTTGAATCTTGTGCGGACCTTCATGCCAACAAGATGAAGTTCAATTATACACATGAAGCCTGGAAAGTTTAACTATGAAGATTCAGGAAACTTCATCTTACCTGGCTTGCCACCCGAAAGTATGTTGCTTTCTGTAGGTTCTATACCAATGACCTTCAAAAATAAATAAGAACTAGGTCAGCAACATAGAACAAGATACTTCTGGGATATGCTGTTATGTGTTGAGCTACTTGTCCATATAATATATCACAGGATCAAAAGGAATTTCCAACAGGAGAATATCTGTTAATAGTGTGCTGCAGGATGCCTATACCTGGACACCAGGCTTGCGTTCTTTGAGGTACCGCCCAACTCCAGAAATTGTACCTCCAGTTCCAATGCCCGCAACAAAAATGTCCACTTTACCTTTAGTGTCTTCCCAGATCTCCGGACCTGTTGTCTCATAATGTATCTGCAGAAAACATCGGAAATGAAACATTCACACTATATACTTTCTCTGTTCTTTTTACTTACAACACTTTGACTTACGTACTATTCACATACTTATTCTGACTACCTTTTGATGATTTATAATTAATTAATGAAATTTATATACATGTGAGATCTTGTTAGATTTGCCTCATTTATACTCATAACATTGAATTCACATAATTATTAATCATGGATAATCAGAAATATTAGTGATTGAAATAATGCAGTGTTAAGTTGTAATCATGAAATGAGAAGTATTGCAAGTAAAAAAGAAACAGAACAAGTATGTTATTTCCATGTCACGTGACAGACAAAGTGACAAACTGTTCATTTTGAAAATACATTATATTCATATTATGTGATATACTCAGGGAAAATTTTAGCAAGCAGATTCCTCCATTTGCATGTGTCAAATCTAGTGTCAAATAGTATGACTTGAGTAACAGATATTTGGAAGTAGGAATCCAAATTAGGCGTCAAACAAAGCAGATAAACCAAAAAGAAGAGAATAAAAGGAAATTCAATGTACTGGTTGAAGGTTAACTTAGAAGAAAAGGGCTTTCAAATTATATGCAATGACACCCTTACAGTCGTTACAGATGATAAGCAAACAAAATCATAATGAGTCATACCTTGGGATTTGCAGGATTGTCAAACTGCTGAAGCATGTAGGAATCAGGAGTATTCTTCAAAATCTCTTCAGCCTTCTCAACTGCACCCTTCATACCCTTAGCTGGATCAGTCAAGACCAACTCAGCTCCGAAGGCTTTCAAGATAACTCTCCTTTCCATACTCATGGATGATGGCATTGTCAAGATAATCTTGTATCCTCTTGCAGCAGCTATAAATGCAAGTCCTATTCCTGTATTCCCACTCGTAGGCTCCACCAGAGTAGTCTAGATGATAAGAAAACAATATACCATCAGTCAAATACATAAAACACCCAACAAAATAGACGAGCATTTGTTAGTGCATGATTATTGTAGATAGCTAATTGCTATTTGAAACTAAATTTTTATTTGAGCATCATACAACTTAGCTATTTATTCCGTTAACCATGTTAAATTATGACAATATTAGTTGCTATAAGCACCAGCATAGCTAAAAGAGGTAAAAAATGAGAACCACATAATATTAAAAAAAATAAAAAATAAAATAAAATTAATAATGTTATACCACATGATATTATTGATTGAGTAGTTCAAGCTCTAATTGCTCCCATAATGTTTCTACCCTCGTGATATAAACAAAAACAATTGACTGTGAAAGAAATCAAATTTTCAAAAAAATAATGGTTCACAAATGATAAATAAGCAATGCAAGGTGCAGTTTCAGAATACAGACATATGCACAGGCAACGGCTACTAAGAATATACTCATTCTATAAGCTTAAGGATGACATGCCTATCTGCCATGGAATTGAAAACTAGGCCATAACACTTTAATCCCCCAAGAGTGAAGAGACAATTTACACAAAGAAATACTAAAGCCTCATGCACACCTTTCAAACACTTAAAATTTTATGTTACAACTTTAGAGAAGATACAGCCTCTAAATTCAGGAAGATGAACTAAAGACGCTCAAGATAAAATGGTAGCCAGTCCAACACCAATAGATACCAGGTCATTCAATTGATGAATTGAAAGAAGCATGGTAGTTGTCAATTTAAGACAATACATGCAATTAACTAGCTATCATCTAAGAAAGTTTAATATGGAGAGACATAAGACAATTTACTTAAGTGCTAAGGGAAAATTGCAGATTTTTACAATCCTCCCATTTGGCCCATTAAATATACAAACAAGATACAAAGATTCTAACATTTCAGGCACTTCAAATTATAATAGAATGACTGAGTCTGTCTGAGACTAAAGATAGAGGTGTAGCACATACATATCATCCAAATGGAAACTTTCATGGACTAAAAAGCAGAAATTTCATGCCCTAGATAATAAATATTGAATTAATAACTGGAAAAGCCAAGTTACTAATGTACTTCTTACATAAATCAGCAAGTGTGACAGGAAGGCAACAAAAGAAGATAGATAAAATTCATAATGGGTCTCTTCAAATTTAACTTGAAGTGTATAAACAAAGCAAGAACCTAATGTTCAACAAGAATACATCATTCTTCAACCTAATGTTCAACAAGAATACATCATTCTTCAAGCATATTGATGTCCAGGAATTCCAAGTAATGTCTAGCCTTAAAAGCAATACCTTTCCAGCTGTGATAACTCCTTTCTGCTCAGCATCATCAATCATACTGTAACCAATCCTGATGTGGGCAGAAAAAGAAAGAATAAGAACATTGCAAAAAAAAGAAAGAATCCATGAACAATCATTTAGTCATTATGTTCCCAATGTACAAACTCATAAAATCAGCCTTCTCTTGACATAAAACTGTTCAATTACACTATAAAGAACTGACGATATGTTCCATGCTGAAAAGGATTTATGGAAAACCAAAAGACTATATTCTTTTAGAAATTTTACCCACCTTTAGCAAAGTAATGTACAAATTTTATTTGGGGGAAAAAACCTGCAAAGATTATGTCTCTTATTAAACCACATAAACCCTCCTGAGCTCATTTCACAAACACAAGATGTGCCAGGGATCTTCTTTACCTGTCCTTCACACTGCAGCAGGGTTCCATGCTCTCAAGCTTAGCAGCAATGTTTGCAACTGATCCATTTGATACATTGTTGAGATACACCATTGGAGTTTTTCCAATTAGCTACCACATAATTAAGAAAAATAATATTACTTTAAGCTTCAACAGATGAGTTCTAACGAAAAAAATAAAAGGAAAATAACAAAATCTTTCTTTGATGCCGCAGAGATAAAGGGAATGCTTATCAGTTCACCAAGAAAAAACACATAACTTACCAGTGTAGCGTACCTAATATGAGTATTTGATACATCAAATAAAACATTTTGAGGGAAATTTTTGGTGACATTTGCTACTAAACGCTAGACCTCAAATAAAAAATGTCTTAAACATGAATGTATTGGTTGAAAGTCCATCTGAAAGCCCCACCAAATAGAAAAGTACTAAAGCTCATGACAAGAGTAAGAAAAGAATCCAAATATTTGCAAGATGTTTGAGGTAACATAGATTTGCCAACAATTAGTATTATGTCATAACATAATAGTTATAGGTAGAATTGGTGAAAAGGTTATGATGGGAGCTGATAGACATGTGTAAGCTCAGGCTATACTTTACGAAGTTGTTTAAAGAATAATTGAATAATAGTATTATGTCATAACATAATAGTTATAGGTAGGACATGCTGTTGACTTTTTCTGAGTAGCAATTCTCAGGCTGTCACTAGCCTATCCGATGAGCTAATGCAAAGATGATTGACGGGAGGAATGATGAAATGGATATCCCAAAAAAGGATTCTGACTATAGTGCCAAATGCTATAGATGTGCATTACCATGAAGCTATATGAAGAGTTTTTCTTGTCACAATAGCCATTGTTAATTTTACCTCCGTCAAGGAAGGAACGAATAATACTCTTATCTTAAACAAACAGATTCAACTCGAGTTTTTACTGATTCAGAATCTGTGTAAATACCACCAAAACTTCAGAGAAACAAATTCCCAGCATGTCTTTAGTTTATACACGTCTATGAGTAGAATAAAAAACATCATAACAACATTCCTAAAACTACAAATCCTAAAATCCATGCATTGATTCAAATTAACCCTCATAAATTTGGTAAGTTGATAAGACAATGATCTGATGACAGAAATTTCTTACAGAATTCTTCAATTTATCACAACACAATCATTATCTGCCATTATAACAGTCTACAAATCCTAAAACTATTTAAGATTTCAAGAAATCCCAAAACCCCACCACAAATTCGCAAATAAAATATAAAAACCAACTCAAAACAGCAATCAGAAATCAAAAAATAAGAAACCCACTACAAAATTTCAATCAAAAACCACAATAAATATAAAGAAAAACAAAAAGCCAATTGAAAATGAAAATTAGAGATTCACCTGAGAAACATCTTCAGCAATGTTAAGGCCTTCAATGGTGGATTGAGGCGCAACAGAAACAGCTTTACAGGTGATTGGAGAAGAAGAAACCTTCCTGAAATTCTTGCAACTGAGCGATGATGGAAGGCCAACTCGGAAATTGGTGAGGCTGTTAACTTCACGAAGCTCCAATTTGGAAGTGCTAAGCGCAGCGTAAGCGTTGTTGACCAAAGAAGCCATGGCTAATTTCTCTCACTTGTTTCTAATCTCGATTGTGTTCCACTCTTTGGAAATGGTGGTTGTCCTTTGAATATATGCCTCGCTTTCAGTCTATATTCACTGTCGTCACAAATTACATACTCCGTACTGTAGTCACGATGTGGTCCTAATCTCCTAGACTTGTCGTGCGAGTTGGGCATGAATTGGGTCGGATTAGCACACAGACTATTTACTTATTTAGGCAATAGGCCTAGTAATAAATTGAGCTGAGAGTGATGGATTGCTCAAGAGGTTATAGCTTCCCTCCCGATTTTAAGAGATTCGGATCGATTCACACTTCCGCCCTTGTGGCTCCCTAAACACCAAAAAAAAAAAATATTGAGGTGACCTGACACGAGCATGTTGTAACTCATAAGCATGGTGGTATCGATGAAATTTGGCATGAGTATGAAGGGTCGGGTAATGTGTTATTCACTTAGTTTTTGGATGTTTTATATTCACCTTATTTTTATGTAAACTCGTTATGGTTTATTTTGATTGTAAATTGAACTTGGGTAGCCTTGAGGTAAAAGAATCTCCACCTCTAAGTTCCCTCACTAATTAGGGTAAGAATCTAACCAATTGAGTCAAGCTTTTCTTGCTGTCTCGTCTTAATATAATTTGCTAAATTTTACTTTATTAATTACATCAACAACTATAGCAATGGGACTATGGGTGGAGTAGTCATGTATAACTTTACTAGCATTCACATTTTAGTCGTAGAGTACTTTGTACTTTACATTAATTTTATAATAATGATGTTAATGAGACTCAAATTCTAATATTCAATATTACTATGAAGGACTCAATTGAATCGGCACCTCTCTCATGTTAAGCCAGCCTAATTCCACAGGTCAACGATTGAAAGCAAAGAAAGAGGTAAGGGAATCCCCTACTTCCAAGCAAATGTAGTTAGTGGGTCTCGAACTCGTGACCTCAAAGTCACAAAGTCAATATTACTCCCTTAAACTTTACTAAAAGATCGCAAACCGTAATTTATACTACTATTTTCCTTTGGACATTATTAGGAATAAAAAAATCATCGATCTCCTTGAATAATACAAGTACTTGCTAAAACTTTACTAAAGCTTCAAACTTTCAATGTTCTTCATTGGTTTAGTACTTTAGTAGCATTAAAGTAACAATTACTCCATTCATTTCACTATAATGGTTGGCTTTTATTTTGAGGTCAAATTTTGAAATTTATCACTGAATATTACTTCCTCCATACTATTTTACTTGACCCGCTTTGACTTTTACACTATTCACCACCCTTTCTTTGACCATATTTTATGAATAATATGTAAGGAAAAACATATTCATGTGGAGTCTTGTTAGAATCGTCTCAATAAGTACTATCACAATATATAACTTTTATAATTTTTACTTATAGAGAAATAAAGTTATTGATGATTAAAGTTGTAAATCGACAAGCGTGATAAAATAAATAGATCAAGTGAAAAAGAACAGAGGAAGTATCAGTCATACTCATACATCATAATCGTATCATATAGGGTATTTTCAATCTATGTCAGTAAATATTTTAAGAATATCAAATTTTATTTATATGTAGTGAACATAACAAATTTTAATGAAAGTGTGCAATGAAAAACCATAAAAATGTAATGAACATAACCATTTGTGAAACCGTTAGGGTAGAAATTAGGGCATTTGAATAAAGAATCTGAAAATTTACATGGATGAAATTGGGTAAATACAAATTGATCTCTGAGATTAATAACTTTTGTTTATTACATGACATTTTTGTAAATAAATCAAGAATTTTTATCTTAAAAATAGACCCTAAAGTGATATGACTGAATAAAGTTGTTGATTTATCATGTGATAAACAATTTTTGTTTATTACAAAGATTAACCTGAATTTTGAGTTATTTTTGTACAAAAACTCAATATATCTGTCGCCCTCAAGAAGACGGCATCACGGCACAAACTATTAATTTTTTCATTTTAGAAAAATTGAAGCACTATTTTAATGGTCATATCATACAAGAAAATCTGGAGGATTTTATTTATTTGTACGAAATGAAAGATAGTTGGGATGGATTATAAATTTATGAGAGTAAAGTCAAGATCCTAGGTGGCTAGGTAGTAACAAATCAGATTTTTTTTTCTTTTGTTTTCTACTAAACTTGCCAACTCATACTTAATTATTCATATTTAAAATACTACGTATATAACTTCGTATACATATGGATTAGGTTAGTCTGTGCGATACACGGTTTTTACCAATAAAATTTTTGCTTATCTATTTGTAATTTACTCCGTAAATAGTTTAAGCAAAACATAATAAATTAAAATTTGACATGATGTTTAATATTTGGGTAATGCTATATATGTAGTCCTTAGGGCTACAAATAAGCATTAAATATATTTCCTTATTTGGTACTTCCTCCGTTTTTATATAGCTGCAACAATTTAACTTTTAGACTATTTATGTATTTCACTTTGACTAGCTTTGATGATTTATAGCTATGCAATGATATAGTAATGTGAGATCTTGTTAGATTCGTCTCAATTTATACTATTTTAGTATCAATTTTTGATAATTATTACATATTTGTAATTTAAGATATTAACGATTGAAATCATGCATTGGCAAGCGTGAAAAGAGAAGTGTTGTAACTATTAAAAAAAAAGGGAAGTATTAGTTTAGGAATGCATGAAAAAACCACGCGTAAATCAGTGTAATTAATGAATTTATTTCACCAATACTTTTCTTTTTTTAGCTTCTTATACATAGCTCTTTGGGCTACATATAAGAAGCTAAAAGTGGAAAAATAAAATGAAAATATGACATTAATTACACTAATTTAATTTGCGCGTGATTTTATCATGCATTATTAAATTAATACCAAATAAGAAAAGTTATTAAGTGCTTATTCATTGCCTTAAAGGCTACATATAACATTATCCATATTTTAATTACGTGTTAAATAAAATCTAAAACAAAAATGTCAGCATTAGTTATTTAGTTTAATTGTTTTGTTAAAAAATTTTGAAGAATTAATAAAGACTGGAAACCGAAAACTCATACTTTTTACTCTAATCTATGACAATCTTGCTTATTTTTCATGCTTCAATTGTATGCCAAATTAATACTAATAATATGCTGGAGGAAATGTAAAGTCGCTAGGAAAATGAAAGATAGAGAGATGAACTCAGTAATAACCATTTTTTTTGTTCTAACTCCATAGGAAATTATGTCATTAACTCGTTAGTCAATTTAGCCATAAATTTTTTTAGGAAAACGTATAATTTTCGTATCTTTTATCTTAAAAAAATGATGTCATTAATAGTTTCGGCGGAAATTTTTTTTATGAGGAGCTAGCACATAGACAATAGTGATGTCAGCGGTTGTTACTGTAGTTATAGTTATAGTTATAGATTTGTTAAAACTAGTCTTGCCGGAAAGAATTTCAACAATAAAAGATAGTAGATGTTTGGGTCCAATTCACTCTAATTGGGCCAATCCACAAATCATTTAATTAAAAGCCCAAAGAAGGTTCAATCCTCTCAAAACATGCCAAGTCAGTTAATGGTTCAGTCAACGTGGCAAGCCCACTTGATCTCAAGGCCCATTAATCTATTGAGAAAGGTATAAAAGCCTTTACTCTTCTCTCTCTACATTCATTCACTTCAAGCCTCAAACAATTAATACTCTTGCATAGATTTCTCTCTCTAAAAACACTATACTGACTTCGACATCGGAGGGGCCTTCCTCGGCACAACCCCCGAGGCCAGTTTACATATGTTTGTTGTGCAGAAAACCCTCGTCCCAGTCATCACTTGGGCCGAGTCCAGTCTTCATCGCACCAGAAAGGTCCAGATGAAGGACCTATTGTTTTCACCCGAAACAATTTGGCACTGTCTGTGGGGAAGACATTCAAAAAACAAGCTAAAAATCAACCATCTGAGTAACATGACTAAGAGCGGGAAAAGCGCGAAGAAAGCTAACCCTTCTTCCTCGAAGAAGGCTCCTTCTTCATCATCTTCTTCGGAGGCGGGCTCATCTGAGAAAGCCGCGTTGAAGAGGTTACCATCTCATCAAACTGCGCAGCCGTTAGGCTCTCGACGGCCGAGCCAGTCAAATGCTAAGAGTGTAACACCCCAATAATCCTCTCTTTAAAACCTGTAATAATCTGTAATAACCTGTAAATACTTTTAATAACCTGTAAGAGAATTACTGACGTGCTACCGCCACGTGTTCAAACGTTAAGGCTAGTTTCAGAAATTAGCAACGGAAAACTAACTTAGTTTTTTTTAAAAAATATAAGTTTCAAAACTAATAATCAAAACCAAATTTAGTCTTATAAGTTGGAACCACAACGGCCCTTATTCAAAACCCAGTAAAATAGGAAGTAAAAAGAATTAGAGTCAAAATAAAATCAACTTATGAAATAAAATAAGCTAAGAGATTAACCAACGCTCCACTCAAAATCCCATCACCTTGATGCAAGTTCAGTTTATGTAAAAACCTGTGATTAATCTACTCCCCAATATTACAAGTGTAAAAAAAATTGGATCATTACAGGGTCATTGAAAGGCGAAGGCCATGACTAAGAATAGACACACAAAAGCACGCAATCAGAAACGCTGAGTACATACAAGCTACGAAATATAGTAAAGAGCCTAGCATGTTACTAGAAATCATTCTGCACACACACAATACAATCATTTACTCAAACACATGACTCAATTGTTAACATTACTAAGGTTTCTCTAAATAGCATTAATTATTTCATTAATTGATTGGATTAAGCAATAGACCGGGTTGTCCCCCTATGCCCCATTTTGGAACATTAATAAAGAAAACCCTATGCCCCATTTCGGAACATTAATAAACATCCAATGGCAGACGGGCGCGACTCCGTGGCCATAGCTAGTATGAGATCTCATCTAACTCATTATAATTTTAAAAGTATTTGAAAACAAGAGACTCGTAGATCAGATGGCCTCTGAAAAGTACACGGCTAATACCCCGTGAACCCCAACCCCTGTTTGTCATTACTCTAGATGTGCACAAATCCAGAGTTTTATTGCTCATCCTTCTTACACTTTACGTGATTTACCGGTTTAAACTTGATGATGACTCTCATGTAAAATAATACAATCGATCAAACATCAACTATTCAAGCAATTCAAATTTCCAATTCAATTCTTGATTTATTAGTGACAAACAATACTTATTATTGATTCCTTTAACTACCTCGGTGTATAAACACCTTAAGTGCATAAGGCACCTCAAATCCTCAACCTTGTCTTATAAGACTTTAATTCTCCCTTTACTCATTCCAATCCAATATTAGTGAACAAGTAATAGATTAGTTCATTCCATACATCCTTGTATCTTTGCCTCTAGGCTCATTTTGCAAATTATTGCATAAATAATTTTTTTATTAGGAAACCAATACGAATTTCTCATACATAAATCAAACCAATAATCACATTTATCATCAATTAAGCTCATTACCAAACAATTTCAACCAATCCACAAGTTCCCTAGCATGATTCTAAGTTTTTCCAAGTCCTTAAACATGTTCCTAAAGTCAAGGTTTTTTGTATGCTTGTACGTACCTTGAGTACACGAATTGGTTGGCCACTTTAAGACTAGAAGTCACCTTGTACGAAACCCTCTCCTAAACAAAACAACAATAGTTCAATTAATACCCAAGCAATATAATTTACAGCAATACCAAACTACTTTAAAACCCCTTAAACCATTGAAATAATGCCTTTAAATTGCTCACAATAGTCAAAGTTAATAATTCAAAGTTCAACTACAAGTTTGCATGTTAAAATCATGAAAATATAGCCTATAGCATAAAATTCCAGCAACCTTAAAGTAGGATTATCATCTGAAAATTTAGTTTGATATTATAAAACAACCTCATAAACATTTCCACTTGAAATAATCGTTATATAGTACATTAGTATGTTAAAAACCTAAAAATTCATCATAAAACCATGATTTAAAACCTTTAAAGTCAAGATAAAAAATCTGGAATTTTAGTTTAATAGTAGAATGTAGGAATACAACAATTTAAACTCGGAATATACAATTAAAATTCAATTAGATTCATAAACACTCAATTAAACCTTCAAATTTCACAACTTAAACCCTAAAATATATATAATTCAAACCTCAAATTTGATTTATAATCAAGATGATTTAATTTAAACATAATTTACACATACTATAATTAGGTAACTTAATCATCACGTTTTAAACCCAAAAATCATGAAAAATCAACATTTAAACCCTCAATTTTCGAATAAACCAAATCTGAAATTTTATTCCATAAATCAAATAAAGTATAATTCATAAATTTGCAATCTTTTATAACTCATATACATAATCAAACCATAAAAATTATTAATCATTGGAAAATTCATGTAAAGATTGAAGCTTTAAAGAAATTTAAACAAGAAAAGAGAGAAAGATAGAAGAGAAGGGGTAGTGGAGGAAACCGGCAGGGTGGTGGCAGTAGGTGGCGAGGGCAGCGGCGGCGGCGGGCTGAGCAGTGGCGGTAGCAGCAGTGACAGCAGCAACGCAGGAGGGATTTTTTTTTTTTCGTGAATCGTGAATGGAGAAGGGAAAAAGGCAGTAAGGGAAGCAATAGATGGGAAGCAGTAAGGGGAAGGCAATAGGAATAGTCACACGAGGGTTTTGAGAGGAGAAATAAGAAGTTTACTTAATTAAAATGGGAATATGGGCTGAAGGGTTTCTTGTTTTTTTTTTGGCTTTAGTAGGATTAAGATGATAGTCATGGGCCCAAAGTGGGTATAAAATAAGTTATTGTTCTTATTTTGTCAAATCATTCCCAAAAAACAGTTATACAAGTATAAAATTATTAATAAATATTCATATACATGAAAAAAAATATATATAATTATTTACTAAGAAAAATATGGAGGATTACAAAGAGTCCCACTCTTAGCTTACACTCACAATCTCACCCTAGAGAACACACACCTTAGACAGGTCCCACTTCAGAGGAGGTGGCGAAAGCCTTCGCTGTCTTCATGGACCTCATGAAGGCCCAAGTAGGCAATTTTCCACCACCTCCCAGCCACTCAGTCCACGCCAACACCCCTCAGCAGCCAAGAAACCTGAGAAGGAAGACTGGCCAAGAGGACGGCAGGTGAGCTCTGTCTTTCAAGGAGCTCGGAGAGAAATGGGAAGAGGATACTTGGAGAACTGAACGAGAAAGAAAGAGAAACCCCCAGTTTTTCGAGGAATCCGAAACCCGAAGCTTCAAAAGCAGTAACACCACCTATGCATGGCAGGAATCTACTTGCAGAAACGTTCACGAACGTATCAGCTCAAGAGAGGTGAGTGTGCACAGTCGCCTCACCTACACCGAAAGGACTGCACCATACCCCGCACCGTCTGAGCCGAAGATAAAAACCACTTCTACCTCTTCGAGAGGGTGAAGCGAGGTCTCGTCGGCTGGGTACAAGGGGAAAACTGTGATGGTACCCACTAGTTCACCCTTCCAAAGCTGGATTCTGGAAGAGCATGTGCCGACGGTGAAAATACCGGTGCACATAACATATGATGGAACTTCGGACCTGAAGGACCAAATCTCCTCCTATGAGGGGCACATGTATCTGAACCCCAGGTCCGAAGCGACCTGGTGCAAGTATGTCCCGACCACTCTCAAGGGTGTTGCGTAAGCATAGATCACCAAGGGAGTAAAGGAAAACTCTATAACCGGTTGGAAAGACCATTCCAACAAGTTTAAGAGCAAGTTTTCTACGGCAAATCGCCAAAAGAAGACAAGTGCAGAGCTGATGAGCCTGCAGCAAGGGGAGGACAAAAGCCTCCGAGACTATCTAACTCGCTTCGGCAACGAGTCGTCAAGAATTACAAGTCTGGACCAAGGGCTAGTCGTTTTCGCATTGCGGAATGGGCTACAGGGCGGAAAGTTCCTTGACTTCATGGTCATGCACACCCCGCAGACCCTGGAGGAAGCTCTAGAAGCTTCGGATAAGTACATCCGAGCCGAAGAGTGGAACACAACTAAGTCCCAAGCTCAAACAAGGACTGGTAAGACAAAAGGACAACCGTTTGAAGGCCAGAGCCAAAAGAAAGAGAAGGCAAAAGCCTCAGAACCATCCTCGGCTACTAAGCCGAAAAAAGAAAAAACCCCATTCATAGGGAAATACGAATCTTACACTCCTCTCGCTCTCCTGCGTGCTAAAATTTATAGCATAACGAAGGACGAGCAGAAGTGGAAGAAGCCGAGGCCACTGCCATCGTGGCATCAGCAGAAAAATAAGGACCGATGGTGTGAGTTCCATGAGTCTCCGGGACACCATACCGAGGACTGTATCTAACTGAGAGATCATATCGAGGATATGGTCCAAAAGGGCTATATGAAAAAATACCACGCGAATCGACGCGAGGAGAAAAAGGCCAATCATGACTCTCGGTAGCAACTGGATTTCCCTAGGAAATAGGACAAGCCGTAGGATAAAGATAATCTTGACATCCTTGTCATTTATGGGGGGACGAGTTCCCAAAATGCTCGAAAGCGCCACTTGAGGGGTTTAACCCATCAAGTCAACCATGCTGCCATCCAAAGTCCAAAGTCTCCGGTGCCAAACTTTACGTTCACATTCGAAGATTGTCGGGGGGTAGCATACCCCCATGATGACCCTCTGGTAATCATCACGGGAATTACAAACCACAATGTCTGGCAAACCCTCGTCGACGACGGTAGTGAAGCATACATCCTCTTTTGGGAGGCGTATGACCAGCTGAAGTTGCAGACCAAGGACCTGACTCTAGTACCCTACCTTGTATCTAGATTCAATGGGTCTGTAACATATCTAGATGGGAAGATCACCCTTTCCGTCACCATCGACAGAGACCGAGCAGCTCGGAACGTCATGGCCGAATTTCTGGTCGTGGATGTTCCTTCTGTGTACAACATGATCATAGGGAGACCCATAATTCTTGAAATTCAAGGAGTAGTCTCCACTTATCATCAAATGATGATATATGTTTCAGATGAGGGCCACTCCGAACGAATCCAGGGCAACCAGAAAGAAGCCTGCATATGCAATTACCACAAGCCATCCAAAAGTCGTCGCGACGACCAGGATGAGGAGGAAAAAGAAAAAGAAATGGACCGAAGCACAAAGAAGCAGAAAGGCTTAAGTGCTTCAGCTCAGAGTGCCTCTGCCCAAGAAAAGAAAAGGGGTAAGGAAAGGCTGGTTCCTCATCCGAACCAAAAGATTCGGAAGCCCAGCCAAGTTTGGGACGCCTGCTGATATCGACATCAAGCCAGATTGTGAAGAGTCCAGTTCCAAAGCAATGGATCTGGACTAGCAAACTGAGTCAATTGAGTTGACCAAAGGAGACCCTGAAAAGTGTGTCAGCATCGGGCTCGGACTTCACCCGAATATCCGTGTTGAACTTATCTAACTCCTTCAGGACAACAGAGATCTGTTCTCTTTCTCGCCAGCAAACATGCCTGGGATCGATCCGAACCTCATCTCCCACAAGTTGAACGTCAACCCCGCCTGTCGACCTGTTAAGCAAAAGAAGTGGAATTACTCCGCTAATAAGAACTGAGACAACGTAGCCGAAGTAAAAAAACTTCTAGATGCAGGCTTCATCGAACCCTGTCAATATCCGGAATGGATGGCCAATGTGGTGATGGTTCAGAAGACATATGACACCTGGAGAATGTGCGTTGACTTCACGGACCTAAAAAGGGCTTGTCCGAAGGACTTCTATCCCTTGCCGAGGATCGATCAACTAGTCGACTCGACAAGTGATCACGCCCTACTTAGTTTCATGGACGCATTCTCGGGGTACACTACAAGAAAACAGCTTGATTTTGACGGAAAAAATCCGTCAGAAACATCCGAAATTCCGTCGGAAACTAGCCTTCCGACGGCCCGTTTGTCGCAAAACCCTTTGCAGGAAATTCGACCTTTTTCGACGGAATTTCCATCGGAAGGCTAGTTTTCGAAGGAATTTCCGATGGATTTATTTCTGTCGGCCCTGTTTTGACTTTAATTGAAATTCCATCGCAATTTTCCGAAGGAAATTTCCGTCAAAGTTCGTAAGGTGGCCGTTATTATTCCTTTATAACCTTTGTGTTATTGCGACGGTGGCCGTTGTTTCGCGGTGGTGGTGTTGTTGTGGAAACCTTGAGATGCTCGCGCGGTTGTTGTTGCGACGGTGGTTGTTGGTTGTCGGTGCTGCTGGTGTCGTTGGTTGTTGGTGTCGGTGTGGTGGTCGAAGAGGACGAAGAAGGAGAAGGAAGGAGAAGGGGAAAGAGGACGAAGAAGGAGAACGAAGGAGAAGAGGAAAGAGGATGAAGATGGAGAAGAGACAGAAAGGGTGGGCGGAGGAGAGGAGGTCAGAGAGGAAGAGAAGAGGAAAGAGGAGAGGAGAGGAGAGAGAAAGAGAAGAGAGGCGGAGGAGAGGAGAGAGAAAAGAGAAGAGAAACAAGAGGAAGAGAAGGAGAGAGAAAGAGAAATGAGAAGGAGAGAAAACCGATTTCTTAGGGTTTGTTTTTTTATATTATTAAATTCCGACAGAATCTTCCGACGGATTTTAATTCCGTCGGAAATGTAATTTTCCGACGGAATATTCCGTCAAAATCTTCCGACGGATTTTAATTCTGTCGGAAATGTAATTTTCCGACGAAATGTTCTGAATATTCCGACGGATTATATTTACGTCGGAAATTTTAATTTCTGACGGAATTTTCCGTCTGAATCTTCTTACGGATTTTAATTTTGTCGGAAATTTTAATTTTCGACGGAATATCCGACGAAATGAAAATCTGTCAGAATTTCTGACTTTTCTGACGGAATTACGTGTCCGTCGGAAACAGTCCTTCGGAAATCGGCCTATTTCTAGTAGTGGTATCATCAGAACTTCATGCACCCAGACGACCGAGCAAAAAGGGCATTCGTTACGAACGCTGGGGTGTATAATTACAAAATGATGTCCTTCGGATTGAAAAATGCGGGGGCAACATATCAAAGGCTGGTTGACCAGGTCTACGCCAAGCAAAAAGGCCGCAACATGGAAGTCTAGGTTGACGATTCAATCGTCAAGAGCAAAGAGGACAAAGACCATGTCGCGGACCTGGCCGAAACCTTTGCCACCTTAAGGAAACATCAAATGAAGCTGAATCTGAAGAAGTGTGTCTTCGGCGTGAAGTCAGGGAAGTTCCTAGGCTTCATGGTCAGCAAAAGGAGGATTGATGTCAATCCTTCCAAAGTTCAAGAAGCGCTCAATCTTCCCGAGCCAAAAACAAAGAAGGATGTTCAGCGTCTCACTAGAAGAATGGCCGCCCTGTCCAGGTTTATCTCCAGAGCTTCGGACAAGGGGGTACCCTTCTTCAAAGCACTGAAACTCCCAAAAACAAAGGAGATCATCTGGGAAGATAAGCAAAAAGAAGTCTTCAAGCAACTCCGCGAGCACCTGCCTCAAATCCGAACGCTGGCACGTCTAGCCGAAGGAGAGACCTTATACTTATACGTGACAGTTAGCCCAGCCACTATAAGCGCGATTCTGCTGAAGGAAGAAGATAAGGTCCAAAAGCCGATCTACTTCGTCAGCCACACACTGACGGATACCGAGACATGCTACTCCCTACTAGAAAAAGTTGCATATGCAGTAATAGTAGCTGCTCGGAAGTTGAGGCCCTATTTCGATTGTCATCAAATAGTGGTCT